CCGATTAAAGGAAGCAAGAACAACCATAAAGTCTTCAAAATTAATAAGGAAATACAATTTTAAAAATACAATTGGGTTTTTTGGAATGGTTTTTTTTGAATTATGCTGGTGACAGCTTAAGGTGTACAGAGATGCCCGCAGAAAAAATGGAATGAAATTTTACCTGGAATTAAGTTATTGCATTCAGTCTGAATTATAGTTTCTCAGGAAAAGCTAAATTAGTGTTTGTTTTGTTCTGTTTTGTATGTAAGTGAGTATACACATATCTCTGCTGCTCCTAATTTCTGCCAGAACCAGCAGAATCAGTAGACAAGAAAAGCTGTTGTAGTATTTCACAAAGCCAGGCAATATCCAAAGTCTCTCACAAGGCCTTTCCTCCTGAGATTTCCTGACAACACGGTTTTAGATAAATGCAGATAAGCCTTATATAAGTATCTAAACTTTAGAAGGCTTATCTGAACCACAACATCTCCAAACTTCTGGCATTCAGTCCCACTAGTTAGTGTTTGTTATACGCATGCCTCTCCACAAGAAGGTACCAGTGGTGGTATTTTGCTGCCCTCCTTACCTCAGTTTCTCAGAGGATATGGGATGGGATGGGATGAGCTGACAGTTCCTTCCAGAGTCAGTGTTTCCATAAGCACATGGAGCATCTGGAGCAGTAGAGAGAAGAAACTCTTAGAGCACCTTCCCTTTCCAGTTCCCGGGCAGCATTCCCAAGACACTATGCCCAGTAACTCACATGAATCCCTAAATTTAGATTCCACTCAACACTGGCACAGTAGCTCAATGGTATAACCAGGCCTGTTTTCAAGTGCTGCATTGTTAGCATGTTTCTGTTATCTCCCCTCCCCCTATTATCCAAGAATTAGTTGACATCCCACAAGGATAATACAATGGCATTGTCAAAGCTGGTAAAGACAATTTAGATTGAAACACCTCTTTTTTGGTCGTCGTTGAATCTTACTTGGACTGCCACTGGTGTCCTTGGTTCCTCACCCCTTATTCAGAAAGGAATAATTCCATCTCAGCTGTTTCTTTGTTTAGGGCTGTTCTCTTTGCTCCACCACTCCGCAAGAAAACTATTTTATGCTCTTCTTTTATTTTCCCCAGGAAAAATTTTTTACCTGAATTTCTCATTCAGTAGCACATCACTACTTTAATCCATATTTCTCATGCTCACTGGATTCCTCCTTATACCACATAAAGCTCCACTTCTGCGTAGGGTCTACAGAAGAAATTTGACTAAACACAAAGTCTGTTGCTGTCTTGCTGACTGATTCTGTCATCTTTACTCTTCCATCCATATACATATACTCTGTCATTGCCATTCTTTACTCTTCCATCCATATACATATACTCCGTCATTGCCACAGAGACCAATCTGCTTCAGGGCAGGTAAGACTGTGCTGGGGAAGGAATCTGTAGCAAAAAGGGCTGACGAGAAATTTTTCATAACTACTTTTAAGCATTTTCGAAAAGTATTTTCATGCTATCCATCTTTTCCAGATTTTTCCAGATTGCCACGGAGACCAATCTGCTTCAGGGCAGGTAAAACTGAGGATTCCTTCACGCTGGGGAAGGAATCTGTAGCAAAAAGGGCTGATGAGAAGCTCTTTTGGGGGCTTTTTGGAGCTTTTTGAAGCCGAGAGGAGCCCTTTGCTTGACCTGGGGCTGTCAGCTGGTGGATGGTGCTGCTGAGGGTGCCTGGGTGGAGCCACCACCACCTGTGGCTGATCAAGCTCCAGGTGATAAGTAGCCCCAGGGAGGGCAGGGACTAGTCCCTGGCCACAGAGCCCAGAGGGAGCCCCCTGTGCTGGGGGTGTCCCCAGTGGGTGCAGCAGCTGCAGTTTGTACGGCCGGGCCCTGCGCCTCTGCTCCAGCACAAGGTACGTTCAGTCCGTCTGGGGGGTTCAGCTGTGGCTTCTACCTGGTTGAAAGCTATTTTTAGGAAAGCTGTGGGCACCCAGATGATGGTCACAAACACGTGGGTGTCCAGGCCTCTGGCTGCAGAGGGTGCCGGAGCCTGGCACTGGCAATGGCGGGCAGCAGGGACAACACCTGTGTCAGGTGTGAACAGGTGACTGGTCTGCTCGGCCTGGTGGCCCAGCTGAAGGATGAAGTGGAGAGGCTGAGGAGCACCAGGGAGAAAGTAATAGAGGAGTAGGGGAACAGGTTGAGCCCCTGTGTAAATTAGAGGACCCCCTCCCCTCTTGTCCTCAGGCAATAAGAAGAGATCTCAGAGAAGAGGGGGAATGGAAACTGGTCCCTGCTTGGGGAAGCAGCCAAGTACCCTTCCAGCCCCTCCCAGCTCCCCAGTTACCCCTGCAGAACAGGTATGGGGTCCTGCAGGAGGAACTGGCTGATGGAGAGGAGGATGGCACACCAAGACTAGAGAAGTCAGGAAGTACACATCATTATAGACACACCATCCCTACTAGCTCCAAAAGGAAAAGGAGAAGGGTCCTTGTTGTGGGTGACTCTCTGCTGAGGGGGGCAGAGGGACCAATATGCCTCCCTGACCCGCTTCACAGGGAAGTCTGCTGCCTCCCTGGGGCATGGGTCAGGGATGTGATGGACAAACTTCCAGACCTAATAAACCCATCTGACTATTACCCCCGTTAGTATTTCAGGTGGATAGTGATGAAATGGGTAGGAGGAGGCCAAAATAAATTAAAAGAGACTTCAGAGCCTTTGGATGGCTGCTCAAGGGAACAGGAACAGAGGTTGTGTTCTCGTCTATCCCTCCAGTGGCAACAGTGAATAAGGAAATTGACAGGAAGAGGCAGCATATCAACGTGTGGCTTTGCGACTGGTGGACTCTGATTAAAGAGAATCTTGTTGGTTTGAAAAGACCTTGGGCTTACAAATTATTCCTGTGCATCACCTAGCACCAGAAGTATAAGGAAGCAAAAAAATCAATCTAACTGAAAGAGCAGAGCTGTTAACAGCTCCATCAGAACTGAGGCACTCAGAAAAAAAATGGAAATCACAGAAGTACCACCAGCACTTCAGTCTCTAGTTACAAGGAGTAAAGGCTAGTGGAGAGAAGGAAGTTTTTTCTGATAGTAACTGATAGACCTGATATGTCTAACAATTTCAGTTAAATCAGGCAGAATAAGCAAACAAACCATATTTTAGAAATGAGAAGAGATGTACATCACATTTGGAAATGAGAAACTGACAAGGCATAGGTGGCACAGGAAAGTGGAGCTGTGGAACAGTTTGTGTGTAATCTGAGGCTGAAGAGTCTTCTGTTTTGAGGAGGTAGCCATGGTCCATAGCATGAGTCTCTGGAACAGTACATCAGAGACAGGGAGAGACTCCTGGGAACCCTAGATAGATAACAAGAATATTAAAATATAAACCAAAATAAAGCTCCAAACAAGCTTGTGGAAGATGAGCACTACTCTGGTGCTCTATACGTGCTTAAGAAACCTGAGTATTATAAAGTGTGCTCACGACAAAAAGGAATTTGTAGCTTGAAGTCCAGTACATTCAGGGTCTCAGTGGGGAGAATTAAGCACAAAACACTGGGAGAAACAATCTGTTAAACATATGCAAGGATTTTCGTCTTCATTTTGTCAAGACAATAGCAACAGAAACACATCGAACAAACCCGTTTAAAACAAGAAAGAAGTGGAACACGTCAAGAAGATGCTTAAGGTTAAACACAATTGTCAGAAAATCAGCAGAAGTTCAATTTGGGGAGACCCTGAATATTGGTAAATACATTGCCTCCATGACAGGAGAAATAACTATTTATGAAACTGCCATGGACAGAGTGTAGAATTCATGTACTTTATGAAAATAGCAATTTTTCTATCAAACTTACACATATTTTGTTTTGGTTTAGGAAGCATGCTGTGCAGTATTTCAATTTTTTTTTCATTCCTTGTTTGTATATATTTTTTATGCAGAAGAAAAGTCTATTGTGATATCTAGAAAAGGGAAAAGTAAGTTTATTCAGTTTTCCTTTATCTTCATGTTAATTTATGCAAGGGATAATGGTATATTTGCTTCTTGGATCTGCTGGCTTCAGAAAATACTCTACCTTAAATATTTTTCAAGTAAAGAAAAAACTTTCTTCAAGGCTTATGGTCCTGTGTTTGTGCCATTTTGTATGGTAATAAAACTTGGTTTCTCCTCCACATTCATAACAGTAAACATCGCAAGAAGAAAACTATAGTTCCCCTAACTACGTCAACAGACAAAGTCAGGCAGCACAAACAGAAGGTAACAAATTTGGCTTTTTGTGGATGAGCAGTTAAAAAAAAACATTTAGATTAGCTATTCTTGTACTCTTGTATTCTTCCCCATTAAAATGGGGATTCTTTTCCCAAAGGGAAAATAAGAATTATAGCTTCCTCATTTCCTCTACCAAACTCTCTATTTTCTAATTAATAACATTCATGGAATAAGTAATTAAATTGTTGTAGCTTTTTCTAAAATAAGAAAAAAAGTCCTTATTTCCACTGTTGTCCAATTAATTGACAAAATAGAGGCTGATGTTTTTTTAAAAGAACAAGATGATGCTTTATCTGCAATTCTCCATGAATAATGGAAGTCCTGTAAAGACAGTTTCAAAGGTTCAATTCATAAAAAGTGTTATAAAGATATATTATATATGCAGGCTTTTCATGACATTCTGCACTTATTCCCAAGTACCACTTGCAAGTTTTGCTTGCCATTCAGTCAGATTTTATAAAAGAAGCAGAACAGGTGCACGGCTACACAAACTCTTAGTTATACCAGGTTAATGGGCATAATTTCTTGAATTAGTACTTATTTAAGTAATTATGTCGTGTACATAGTGGTTGCAGTTCTCTCCTTAGTGCCACGTTTACTCTCTGTGTATTAAGCTGTATTTCTGAGCCGCTGATAGTAAACTCCTGCATAAATGACCAGTTTATCAAATCTAGAACCTATTGCAGTTAGTCAAGGATTATATATAAAAGCAGTCAGCTGAACTTCTGTTTCTTTTTTTTTTTTTTTTTTAGAGAGAAAAGAGGAAAAGAAAAAGGCTGATGTAAAGAGGGCTATGACTGAAACTAAGAAGAAAGGTATGGTTTGGGAATTTTTCTTATTGGCCTAATTCAGCTTTTACTCCTACTCCTGGCTCAAATCTCATTGCATTTTGTTTGGGTAATCCTATGCTTCTGGCTCTGTGTTGACCTTAGTTGCTTAGTCACTATTTGCATGTTACTACTTCTTCAGTATTTGATATCTGATGTGTTCAGTGTTTGATATTTTCTTAACTCTTTTTCTAACAAATAAAAAGTCCTGTTTGGTGACCATCTATGGGCTTGTTAGACAATTTAATGGAGTCCCTATATGTAGCAGGACATAGTGATGCTGCCATACACAAAACTCATGGGAGATATCACTTGGTTCATGATACACCACTTTCTGAAGGTGGGGTAGATTTATTTATTTTGTAGAATCACAACCAAAACTTGCAGTGAAAAAACTGCAAAGCCTTCATATTGCTATCTAAATAACCTTTTGGATCATTCATTCCCAGGAAGCATCTAAAATCCACTGAGGTCTTGCTTTCATGGGAAAATATTTATGTCATTCATTATTTTTTAATGACCTCATTGCTACTGGAGCTTAAGCTAAAAGGTACCACATTCATGCACTGATGATTTTTGCCTGGCCTTTGATGAATTATTAAGGGTCCAAATCATCCATAGTTGATGCATACTGATTAATTTTCATTTTCAGCTGATTGCTCTGTGGCTAGTTGGGTGCAAGGGCTATAAAGGAATAATCTGAACTAAACTCCCAAATAAGTCACATTTTTTTCAGCATGTGCCCACCAGGACTTGGCTGACTGCATATTTGAGTATATGACTCAGAGTTCTAGCATATCAAATTACTTTCTTTAATTAAATCATAGAAAAAGAAGGAAAAAAAGAGAAAGCTCATGAGAAGACAGCTGTCCCTGAAATTAAAAAAGCAGGTAAGAAATTGAAGTCTCTCTTTCTCTGCAGTAGATATCTGACTACTTAGTGTAGGTGCTTCCAGGTTTTATGCATTTGAGATAGGGGTATATGAAATTCATTATCACTTAAGAATTCGAGAGAGAGGGGTATATGTAATTCATTATCACTTAAGAATCCAAGAGAGAGAAACATTACAATATACTTGTATATATGTGTGCATAATGTGTTTACACTATATCATGCATTTATAGTAATTTATGCATATTATTATATATGCATACATGTATTTTTACAAAAACATTAGAAACACTGTTTTCTCTTATACACTCAATCAATAGCATAAGTAGTTTCAAAGGGTGCATGGTATGGAAAGACTGAATGAAGTGCATAAATTTGCATAAATTATTTCACAAGTTCAGGTCATTTTAAGTAATAAATAGAAGCATCAACTTATCAAACTATTTAATGTAGTAGAAAATAGATAGCTATCTTTCTGAGGCTTTATCCACACCCAGAAAGTAATTACTTTAAAAGTTACAAACAAAGTTAGTGAATGTGAATGTGAATTTAAAAGTTACAAACAAAGTTAGTGAATGTCCTGAACCTTATTAATTGTGGGTTATGCTAATTAGCATAAAAAGATATTTTTTTAATAAGAGTAAAAATTAACATTTGTGTCTTGTCTACACTAAAATTGTTGTAACTTTTCTTTCCCTTACTTGCAAATTTACTGAAATAATGTTTAATGTACAAATGCAAACATATCGCCAGTAAGTGAGACAGTCTGTGAATCTGTCTCATTAAAATCAAGGAGAAACAAAATGGTCAGTCTAGTGGTTTGGTAATCATCTTAATTCCTAGAAACACTGGTTCTACTTGGTGCTTTGTCAGACAGTTTCTATATAACATTCTCCAAATCATCGAGTACTTGGATGAACTTTTCCATAGACTAGAGTAATGCCTAAAACCAATGGAGAAAGGTTTAAAATAGGATTGAAAGATTCTGGGCTATAGTTATTATGTCATCAAAGCAAGCCTTGCGCTCTGTTATCTAATTATTCAAATCTGTTGAATTTTATCAAAAGCAGAAAGGTTATATATCCCATTGTTTACTAACATTGTGGATTATGTATGCAAATTTCAGTATGCAACTGGCTGCTTTACCATTGAGTTTAAAGTGGTCTACATAAACTTTCCTATTCAGGTGTTTATGCACAGGAAGTAAAATGTTAATTTACGTTTGGTACAATATAAAAATGCACAGGATGACACAGAATACCTTGGAGTACTATCCTGGTAATTTAGATATGCTCCAGTCTTTTATAGTAGGGAGTGGCAGTCTGGTGAAGGGATGGGGATGAAAGGGAGTACTCTTCTCCAAGTTAAATTGCATATTTAAATGTATAAACACAGATTTAAAAAGAAAATAAGCTGACTATTCATATATCTTTTCTAATTTTATTCTGCCTCTAAGCTTGTATTTCACTTGAGAATACAGAATTGTAGAAGATTACATTTTATAGCAAAGCTGCAGCATAAAGTTATTAATATGTTCATCTTCACAAGCTGTTGCTAAATCCAATGACTCATCCTAGCAATGCTAGAAAGACACAAATTAGACAAACCAAGACATCCGCACATTTCTGTCCCTTTTATTAGCTCCGTAGGTTGCTGCATTTTGAAGAGTTTACTAGCCTTTGTGTAAGAGGACGGTAATCCATAATATATTCTAGCTACACATGTTGCTGTTCTTCCTCAGTTTGCTCTTTGAATGCGTGTGTACTTTCTAACTTTGATTGGCAGCACCTATTGTTATCCCTAAAAGGTTTTAAGCCTGAAATAATTGCCACATTTGATCAACAGAATAGTAGTGCATAGCCCAGTTTAGAAATGAGGCACCTCAGTGTCTGATAGTATTTACATGCTTTGGGCAGGCACAGCAAACAAACCTCAGAGCGCTTGAATCAGCAGCATCGATAAGCATCCACAAGCAAGAGTGTAGGAACAGCCTCTAATTTTCTTACCTTTTCCCATTAAAAGGCTAAGCAGAGGCCACTGCATTAAAAATGAATTCCTCGCCCCGCTTTTCAAATCCTGGCATTACCTCTGGATGCCTCTGATTTTTGTGTCTTGTTTTGCTTCCCCCAACCTTTGCAATCCCTGAAGTCGAGGTGTGTGCGGGGCACGCTGCCTCCTCACCACCACCCACACTCATCCCAATGCCAACAGGCAGGTAATTCTTCCCAGGATCTGGCTGCCTGGCACCCCAGTCCCACCTCTGCTCCTCTCCTTCACGTACCTCCTCCCAGAAGACTCACCTCTGACAGGAGGCCCATTAACCAGGCTTTCCCCACAGAGGAAGGTTGGTGTGTACAGGCTGTCAGGCGCAAGAGAGAGAGAGGAGGAGATGTTGGTGTAACGCTTTGAGAGTAGTGTTTCCCTCTATTCCTCTCCACCTCTCTTCCTCTAACACAGAATAACAGAATCTTCATGGTTGGAAGGGACCTTCGAGATAGAGTCCAACCCAAAAAAAACCCCAAACAAACCAAGACACCCCCCCCCACCCCTGACACCGACCACCACTTCTCTACAACCTCCTTTCAGGTAGTTGTAGAGGGCGATAAGGTCTCCCCTCAGCCTCCTCTTCTCCAGGCTGAACAACCTCAGTTTCCTTGGCTGCTCCTCATAAGACTTGTGTTCCAGGTCTTTCACCAGCTTGGTGTCTCTCCTCTGGACAAGCTCCAGCACTTCAATATCCTTCTTGTAGTGAGGCACCCAGAATTGAACACAGCACTCAAGGTGAGGCCTCACCAGTGCCAAGTACAGGGGCACAATGACTTCCCTACTCCTGCTGGCCACACTATTCCTGATACAGGCCAGGATGCTGTTGGCCTTCTTGGCCACCTGGGCACACCGCTGGCTCATGTTAAGCCGGCTGTCAATCAACACCCCTGGGTCCTTTTCTGCCAGGCAACTCTCCAGCCACTCTTCCCCAAGCCTGTAGCATTGCCTGGGGTTGTTGTGACTAAAATGCAGGACCTGGCACTTGGCCTTATTGACCCTCATGCCATTGGCCTTGGCCCATTGATCCAACCTGTCCAGGTCCCTCTGTAGAGCCTTCCTACCCTCAAGCAGATCAACACTCCCATCTAGTTTGGTGTCATCTGCAAACTTACTGAGGGTGCACTCAATCCCCTCATCCAGATCATCAATAAAGATATTAAACAAGACTGGCCCCAAAACTGAGCCCTGAGGGACACCACTGGTGACCGGCGGCCAATCAGATTTCACCCCATGTGATGCTTGTGATTGCAAATACTGAATATTTTTTGCTGATTAATATTTTAGATTATCTCTTACATCCAGGAGACAATTTTATCTCTAAGGTTAACAGAATGGATGTTTTATTGCTCTCCATTAACTGCATCCCTGTGATGTATTTGTATATTTGCATGCCAGCTCCCTCCATTCCTCTCTCTCTTTCTGCTGCTGTAGAGGAGCAAGAGTCTTCTAATGTGAAATGTTCTTAGTCTTTAGCACAGAGTGAACTGAATGATTCTTAATTAGCTTTTAAAAATGCATTGTAGATAAAACCACATTAATACTCTGACCTTCAGCTCGTACAAAAACATTGCGTTAATTGTCCTGAAAAATAGATAATTCCATTGTTACAAATTCAGAGGTCTTGCTTAAACAAACATAATTGTCAGACAGAAGGGTCTGACACAGCCACACTTCAAAACACTTTATAAAAATCTACCCAGCACTACTCTGGGTGAAAAAGAAGCTGCATCTCCAAATCCCCATGCAAGGGCCTGCTGAGCCCCAGCAGAGACAAGCCTTTGCCAGGCTCTCCTAAAGCTCCCGGTGGCTGGGACGCATCATCTCGGAGCGCTGCAGCCTGCAACCTGACTGAGAAAGGGGACCCTCTTTGTTAAAGATTTAGCACCCAGCCATACATTAAAATGAATATGCAGAGATTGGTGTTTTCAGGTACTCATAGTTTACTTGCAGAGTGTTTCCTGATGGTCCCTTTCTCAGAATCTGAGTAGTCTGGAGCTTCTCTGGTCCTTCTTATATCAGCTTTCTTAAAAATTCATGATGTTCATATGCAG